AGTTACAGCTCCGCTGTCCAAAACAGTAGCCACCAACCACATGTGGTTATGGAGCCCTTGAAGCATTTGTTGACAGGATTGAGATGTGCTGTGAGTGAAACAACACTAGATTTAAAGACTTGGTATGAAAAATATATGTGTATATATACACATACACATATATGTATAATAGCTCATTAAAAAATTTTTGTATTGGCGGGCGCGGTGGCTCAAGGCTGTAATCCCAGCACTTTGGGAGGCCGAGACGGGCGGAAGGTTAGGAGATCGAGACCACTCCTGGCTAACACACGGTGAAACCCCGTCTCTACTAAAAAATACCAAAAAACTAGCCGGGCGAAGGTGACGGGCGCCTGTAGTCCCAGCTACTCAGGAGGCTGGGCAGGGAGAATGGCGTAAACCAGGAGGTGGAGCTTGCAGTGAGCTGAGATCCAGCCACTGCACTCCAGGCCTGGGCGACAGAGTGAGACTCCATCTCAAAAATATATATATATTAAAAAAAATGTTGTTTATCTAGTTTAAAATGATATTGGATATTTTTATTATTATTTATGTAGAGGACAGGTCTTGTTCTGTTGCCCGGCTAGGAGTACCAGTGGTACAATCAATAGCTCATGGTTACCCTTGAAATTGGGCTCAGTCATCCTCGCTACCTCAGCTCTCCCAAGGTAGCTGGGACTGCAGGTGTGAAGCACCTGCCTGGCTTTTATCTAAAAAAAAAAAATCTTTTTTTTTTTACATTTTTTTTGTAGAGAAAGGGTCTGCTGTGTTGCCCAGGTTGGTCTTGATTTTTTTTTTTCATTTTTTTTTCCAGCCTTGGGCTCCCAAAGTGCTGGGATTATAGGTATGTTTTTTTTTTCCTTTTTTTTTTATATTAAAATTAGTTTCACCTGCTTCATTTTACTATTTTTTTTTTTTTTGAATTTTTTTTAAAATTTTAAGTTTTCAGTAGCTACAGAACTTCTATATTGTTTTTTTTTTATTTTTTTTTTGAACTGGCAGGGTTTGGAGGCTGGAGTACTGTGAGGGTGATTTTTTTTTTAGGTTTTTTTTTAAGTCTCTCTTCTCCAGTTGCTCCTTTCTAACGAGACCATTTTTTTTTTGAGTTTTTTTTGGAGAGCCTACAGAGTGAGTGTTAACTAGCCGGGCGAGGTTTTTTTTTTTTGTTTTTTTTTCTACTCAGGAGGCTGAGGTTGGAGGATCACTTGAGCCTGGTTTTTTTTTTTTTTTTTTTTTAGAGATCACACCATTGCACTCCAGCCAGGACAACAGAGTGTTTTTTTTTTTCATTTTTTTTAAAAAAAAAAAAAGTTAAGGATTTGGCAGCTGCACTGTGGTTTTTTTTTTAAGTTTTTTTTATCCAGCATGTGGGTGAGCATGAGCCATGCAGAGGAGATGTTTTTTTTTTACATTTTTTTTGGAAGTTTACAGCTCCGCTGTCCAAAACAGTAGCCACCAATTTTTTTTTTTTATTTTTTTTTTGACACATGGTTGGACAGGATTGAGATGTGCTGTGAGTGTAAAACAACACTAGATTTAAAGACTTGGTATGAAAAATATATGTGTATATATACACATACACATATATGTATAATAGCTCATTAAAAAATTTTTGTATTGGCCGGGCGCGGTGGCTCAAGCC